TATAAAACTAATGCAAATTGAATATTTAAAATAAATGATTAAAACATGTCTAATTCGATGATTGCTTCTATTCATTCACAACTTATTCCATCACAACAAATCTTATTGATTCAAAGTGGAATTTTAATATTAATAAATGCGGAAACTTCGGATTTAAATCCGAGAGTTATGTGTACTTCAAAAAGTGAATCATACAAATCAATCATCCTAGACTGTCTGAATATCAAAATTATACTGTGAAATCTACCATTTAAAATGTTAATTTCTATTGCGCGTTGCCAAACCAATAGGACATGGGACCGAATACAGCTCAAGTTTGAACTCTTTCCCTTGATTTACCCTAAGAAAGTCGTTTTTCCTATAACTTCATTTCTATTGGTCACTGCACAACTAATAGTATTTCGATGGAAGTGCAGTACACATTCGAGCTCCCCATATCTGAAAACCTCGAAGTATCATCAGTGTGACCGGAAGATAAAGCTCTATTTGTGGATCAATTAGATCGTGGACCAAAATATAACCTAGTTCTCTTTAATTGTCCTTGTCATTGGTAAGTCAACCTTCTTGTTTCTTTATGTTTTATATATCATTTTGTAGTTCTTGAAATTCTCTATCGAATGGTATATAATAGTTGGGGTTTTAATTGACTATGATAGGAAAAGTCTTTTACGAAAGTCGCGATGGGTCCATTTTTCCACAGAAAGCTATAGGGAAAAATGGGTATTTTTGCAATAACTCAGGAACGGCTTGGCCGATCCTTCTCGTCTTCGAACTCGACCGAGACATTGTCAAGACTAAACTGTGTAGAAAGTTTCATCGCAATCTGACTCTGCTGTCAAAAGTTATCATGTAAACAGCCAACCGGACGGACGGACACACTGACTATTCTATAGTGTACTCACTTTTTGAGTACACAAAACTATGATTCAGTTCAAAACTAATATCCGATTCAGAATCAGCATTAAAAACTGAGCCGATTTATGTATTTTGTGAATAATTATGAGCAAAAAATGTTTTTTCGAAAAATCCCCGTACCCCCCTCAGGGATGGTCTGGTCAAAAATCACAATTTTTTCGATAACTCAGCCATTTCTTGACGGATCCTTCTCATCTTCGAACTCGACCGAGATATTGTTAAGACTGAACCGTATAGAAAATTTCATCGCAATCTGACTCTCCTTTCGAAAGTTATCGTGTAAACAGATGGCCGGACACACTGACCGATTCTAGAGTGTACTCACTTTTTGACTACACAAAAGTATGATAAATCTAATGTACCGGTGTCAACAAAAACGACATTTACATCATCTATTGTTGATTTTATAACAGAATTTATAAATGAAATCAATGTATGTACATAGAGTTTGATCATAAATATTATTAGCAGTATGATGAGATTTTAACTACTGTATGTATTTCGTGTTGTGCGAGCCAAACTCTAGGATGGGGAGAACCATATATATATTTTTATTCTACAGTGATAAACAATAATTTTTGTATCATGTTTAGGATTTAATAGCACATATTGACCGTGTACGTCAACAGTTTCGAGCTGCAAAACAAGCAAGACAAGCGGCTATGGAACAGGAAGATACAATTACAATACATTTGGATTGGTCCGAAAACTTCAAATTGAAACAACCACGACAAGAAAAAGGCGAGTGATTGATTACCCGATTCCAATCTTAAAGCTTAGATGCTCTTATTATCACAATGGAATCGTGTTCTGTTGATTCTATTGCATGTTTTACTGCTTTAAAGATTTTGTTTAAACTAAAGCAATAATATTTCTTTTAGCGTCGTACTATTATGAACAGCACATATCAATTTTAAGTGGTCATTTGTGGAAGAAAAATGATTGTTTTAGTTTTGGTTCAATATCTGATGATACTAATCACATGTCTGAAGCTACTTGGGCTGCAATACAACATTTATAACACACTATTACATTCGTACTCGAGAGCTAGCTTATTTTTTATAACACAACTATATATACCACTGCAAATGCAGTTCTTTCTGCGTATGACCTGAAGTTCTTTAAATATATTTGAGTAAATTCGTAGTTTCACGAGCTTCTAATTTATATGAAAAAACTCACGTTTGTGGACATTTTATATATTTTGAAAAACTGCTGTAGCTCAGCCAATTTAAGTGTGGTAGTGTGGAAATTTTATACATATTCTCGTCTCATCTAGTACACTAAAATGCACGACTCATAACCCCTAAAATCGAAAATTTTTTTTCGTCCATTTTTTTCTCGAGCGGTACAATAAAGTTGCAATTCACTCATACATATATATTCCCGTTTTCACTGACGAATTTACATTGTTCTTGAATTTGTAAAGCATATCAATTCTCTTTCGAACTTGTGCGCTCTATTTCTTTATACTGTTTGTTCAATTAAAACTAAAGAAATGGAATTCTATGAAAATGATGAAGTCGACGAGGAGCCCTGTGATTCATATGCCAGTGATGATACCAGCGAGAGTGATTTCGATTTCGATTATGATGAACTAGTCGATGATTTAGATGAGCTTGAACTTTCTGATGAAGATTTGGATGTATATACAGAGGAGCTGGATTCAACCAATGAAAGTCATATCACGGATGGCGGCTTTACCTCAATCTCTCTCAAAGAGCAAACTCCAGTTCCAGTCTTTAGGACCTTTTTTACTGAAGAAGTTTTAAACCTGATCCCTGATCAAACAAACTTTTATGGAAAAGGAAAGGAACGAAATAACAATCAGAAGAAAATGAGTAACTGGAAGGATGTGAGCAACAAAGAGATTGAATCGTTTCTCGGATTGATTATTCTAATGGGTGTCAATAACTTGCCAAATATGAAACTTTATTGGAGTAAAGATATGATATTCCATAATACATTTATTTCTTCTATCATGTCAAGAAATCGTTTTCTTCAAATTTTTTATAATATACATTTGGCTGATAGCTCATTGCAACCAAAACGAGAATCCAAAGACTACCGTAAAGTTTACAAAGTTAAGAATTTTACTGACATTTTACGGAGAAATTTCCAAAAAAATTATAACCTTGGACGCTACGGTACAATCGATGAAAGCATGATAGAATTGAAGGGAAAATCAAGCCTCAAGCAATATTTGCCACTAAAACCAATAAAAAGAGGTTATAAAGTTTGGGGCTTATGTGATCCAACCACTGGTTATTTATACAACTATCAAATCTATTTAGGAAAAGAAGAAATCAGTGGAAAAGAAACACCTTTGGGCAAACATGTTGTTTGCGATCTGATATCTGGCCATAACTTCCAAGGAAAACATCTATACTTTGATAATTTTTTCACTTCTCTCAGATTATTAGAAAAGCTAAAGCTACAAAACATAAAAGCCTGTGAAACTATCAGACCAGATCTGGCAGGTATTCCATTGGATTTTGCCAAGAACAATAAAATGGAGCGAGGAGATTACAAGTCAATGATTGCATCGAACAGCATCGTTTTCATATGGATGGACACTAAACACATTGTCCTGGATTCAAATTATCATAAAGACAATGAAGTTGTTCCGATTTCCCGTCGTTTGAAAAATGGCCAACGTATTACAATTGCCTGTCCAAAAGCAGTAAAAGATT